GTGTATGGCATGGCGTTGCCATGTGTGTGTATGGCATGACGATGCCATGTGTGTGTATGGCATGACGATGCCATGTGTGTGTATGGCATGGCGTTGCCATGTGTGTGTATGGCATGGCGTTGCCATGTGTGTGTATGGCATGGCGATGCCATGTGTGTGTATGGCATGGCGTTGCCATGTGTGTGTATGGCATGGCGATGCCATGTGTGTGTATGGCATGACGATGCCATGTGTGTGTATGGCATGGCGTTGCCATGTGTGTGTATGGCATGGCGTTGCCATGTGTGTGTATGGCATGGCGATGCCATGTGTGTGTATGGCATGGCGTTGCCATGTGTGTGTATGGCATGACGATGCCATGTGTGTGTATGGCATGGCGTTGCCATGTGTGTGTATGGCATGCCGTTGCCATGTGTGTGTATGGCATGGCGTTGCCATGTGTGTGTATGGCATGCCGTTGCCATGTGTGTGTATGGCATGGCGTTGCCATGTGTGTGTATGGCATGCCATTGCCATGTGTGTGTATGGCATGGCGTTGCCATGTGTGTGTATGGCATGACGATGCCATGTGTGTGTATGGCATGGCGTTGCCATGTGTGTGTATGGCATGCCGTTGCCATGTGTGTGTATGGCATGGCGTTGCCATGTGTGTGTATGGCATGACGATGCCATGTGTTTGTATGGCATGCCGTTGCCATGTGTGTGTATGGCATGGCGTTGCCATGTGTGTGTATGGCATGGCGATGCCATGTGTGTGTATGGCATGGCGTTGCCATGTGTGTGTATGGCATGCCGTTGACATGCGAGTGTATGGCATGCTGTTGCCATGTGTGTGTATGGCATGGCGTTGCCATGTGTGTGTATGGCATGGCGTTGCCATCTGTGTTATGCCATGGATTTCCCATGTGTGTTATGCCATGGCTTGGCTTGTGTGGCACTGGTTGCTATGCATGTGTGCCATTATGTGGTATGGCGTGTCGCTGCATGTGTGCGCGCAGAGACGTGGCACTATACGCGTTGGGCGTTGGGGCCTGCTCATCTGACGCGTGTGACTCTATCGACCTACAATCACCTCTTCCAGGATCGATTCTTTGTAAGCACCACCATACCACACCCCGCTGGCTACACTCACCCTCCTTGCGTCACTCTCCCTGCGTCACTAACCTTGAGTCACCATCCATCCCGCCTCCCACCCCATCCGCATATCGCAGGTCTTCCACGAGGGCACACAGTGCCCTTAACAGCTCTATGTTGATTCGTCTCAAAACTGGACTCACTACACGTTCCACGAGGGCACACAGTGCCCTTCACAGCTCTATGTTGATTCGTCTCAATACAGGACTCACTACACGTTCCACGAGGGCACACAGTGCCCTTAACAGCTCTATGTTGATTCGTCTCAAAACTGGACTCACTACACGTTCCACGAGGGCACACAGTGCCCTTAACAGCTCTATGTTGATTCGTCTCAAAACTGGACTCACTGCATGTTCCACGAGGGCACATAGTGCCCTTCACAGCTCTATGTTGATTCGTCTCAAAACTGGACTCACTGCACGTTCCACGAGGGCACACAGTGCCCTTATCAGCTCTATGTTGATTCGTCTCAAAACTGGACTCACTACACGTTCCACGAGGGCACACAATGCCCTTGACAGCTCCCTAACTCATTACCTCTCATTCCCTTCATCATTCCCCATCATTCCCCATCATCATTACCCCTCATTCCCCATCATTCCTTTCATCCCTCATGTCCCTCCCTCCTCCTTGTGCCGCCACTCACACCGCAGGTCCTCCCCACCTTTGCGGTTCTCTTCCCCTCCTCCCTCATAGAGCAACTCCTTGCTGTCGAAGGGCTCGTGTGAGTGGATGGGATAGGATGGAACCATGCTGGTAACCCCTTTCCGCTCCTTCCGCTCTGCTGCTCTCTCTATGCCGGACGCTCTTCCCCTCCTCCCTCATCGAGCAACTCCTTGCAGTCAAAGGGCTCGTATGAGTGGATGGATTGGGACCATGGTAGCCGCATTCCGCTCATTTCTCTCTTGCGTCTTTCTGTATACCCCCACACCCTTTCCCTTCCTCTGTCAATTAACAATTTCTCGTCATCGATGAGCTCGTGTGAGTGAATTGGATGGGACCATGCTGCTAACCCCTTCTTCTCCGCCCCCTCTCGATCCTTTTCTGATAACTCCACACCGTTTTGCCTGTGTGCCTCATCCATCCGCCCTCTATTCGTATTGCAGTCAGTCAACCTTTCTCCTCCTCTATCCCTCTCACATTCGCACTCCTCCCATTCCTCCCCCAGCTTCGATCCGGCTCTACTGCTGCACGGAGAGCACTATGTGCGACTCTTCCGGCCCCTGCCCACCGCTGCCAAGGTGAGCCCGCACCACCTCCCCAAGTTCCCACCTAGCCCCTCCAGCCATTCCGTGGGCAGTGCAACTTATAGGGCATGGTACCAGGCCAAGAACGTGTGTACCATTTGATTGAAGAAGCGTTGAATGGCAGGTGGTGAATCGCGCGCGCATATCAGCCCTGAAGGAAAAGGGCAGGAAGGCATGTTGTTTATCTGTGTTATCGTTTCTTTCCTGTCCGTATGCCTGTCCCTCGGTGTTCACTTCACTCCATGGCAGGTGGTGAATCGCGCGCGCATATCAGCCCTGAAGGACAAGGGCAGGGCGGCCATAGTGGATGTGGAGACAGTGTCGTTCGACCGCGAGTGAGGAATCAAGCTGGCAGTCAACAGGTGTGTGTGAGACGTTGCTCAACTGTAGGAGGCAGTTTTAACTGTTTGGGCTGCCTGTTGTTGCAGCAGGAGCATGCTATTGTGTCGATTCATAGCTTTCCATGTGCCTTCATCCGCCCTATTTGTGGCATGCCATGGCATCCCCTTTCATCCTTCTCACCTTCCATTCTATCCTGTGCTATTCCATTCCATTTCATCCCATGCCATGCCACAACCCCATTCATCAGGTCATCCATTGTGCTGCGTGGTACTGGAGGCTTCTCCTCTAATCCGACCACCACACCACACCCTGCCCCACCACATCACACCCTGCCCCACCACACCACACCCTGCCCCACCACACCACACCCTGCTACTCCCGCTGCTTCCGCGAGGCTATCTCAACCGCCACAGCAACCAGCAGCACATGGCAGCGCAGTCCCCAAGCAGCCATCCGCCCGCCCCGCACCTCATGCATCAGCAGAGGAGCGCATCCCCCCCAACCAGGCCCTGCTGTATCGCCTCTGTGGCGACCTCAACCCCCTCCACTCCGACCCTGAATTCGCCGCCACTGCAGGGTAACTAGCCCTTTTTCAATGTCTCCTATCCTACTCTTCTGTCTAAGCCCATCAAGCCTTGATACGTTGTGTCTTGTTAAAAAGGTACAATGCCTTTGCTCTAGCGCCTTGCCTTTATATCTCCCATTCCCCTGCTCTCTGCATTTTCTCACCGTCTCAATCGCCTCTACCTCATCGATCTATGTTGCCTTCCCACCTCAACCCACCTCAACCCACCTCCACCCACCTCAATCCCGACCTCAACACCACATACCCCACCCTCAATCCCTCTCTCCCCTCGTCCAACCCTCCAGCTATCCTCGCCCGATCCTGCACGGCCTCTGCACACTCGGCTTCGCCACCCGAGCCATCCTTCGAACCTGCTGCAGGGGTGACCCGAGCCTCTTCCACAGCGTGCAGGTTCGGTTCACCGGGCATGTGTTCCCGGGCGAGACTCTCATCACCCGAACCTGGCAGCCCGTGTCCATACCAGCATCAAGCGCAGCAGGGGAAGAAGAATCAGCAGCAGGTTCGGGAGGGGAGGGCGTGAGAGGAGGGGGGCCGTTGAAGCGTGTGAGCTTTGAGTGCTGGATTGGTGAGTGCAACAGGATGGTGCTGTCTGGGTGGATGCAGCTGTGTGCTGACAGTGAAGCCGCAGGCAGTGAAGGCAGAGACGTCATGAGCAGCAATGGTTCGCCCAAGTCACGCTTATAGCTCCTTCACCCTTCTAACTCGAGTGCTGGATTGCAGAGCGCAACAAGATGGTGCTGTCTGGGTGGATGCAGCTGTGTGGTGACACTGAAGGAACGGGCAGTGGAGGCAGAGATGTCATGGGCAGAGATGGCTTGCCCAAGCCACACTTGTAGCTCCTTCACCCTTCTAACTCGAGTGCTGGATTGCTGAGCTCAACAGGATGGTTCTGTTGGGGTGGATGCAGCTGTGCACTGGCAGTGAAGGCACGAACAATGAATTCACAGGCAGAGACGTTATGGGCAGTGATGTATGTCTTGCACAAGCCTCGCTTGTAGCTCCTTCGCAACTTGACCAGATGCGAGTAACTATGTACATATGTGTGCGAATCTTCACCCCCATGCACCAACTGGGCATGCACATGTAGCTGACAGCGCTACCAGTTGTCATGTGTGATGCCAGTACTTGTTGCTCATTCAATTCTACCAGTTGTCATGTGTGATGCCAGTACTTGTTGCTCATTCAAATCTACCAGTTGTCATGTGTGATGCCAGTACTTGTTGCTCATTCAATTCTACCAAATTCAACAGCTGTGCTTGGAGCTTCAGGTGACATCTTTTCATGCATGGGAGCCTTTGTTCTGTGAGCCTATACAAAAAGGGTGTCAGATATCAAATACACAAGGGCTTGCCTTGCCACTGGTTGTTGTTCCTAACCTAACAGGTCTGGTTAATGTTTCTTGTGCACAAGAAGCTGCACATTTCATGCACGACCCGTATGCTGGCATCTACCTGTTAGAAGAGTATGCATATCACTTCTGGCCCCACAACATGCTAGTCACAAGCCTGTGCCTCTCATCTTCTCTGGTCAGTGAGTCTACTACTGCCCCTTACTTGCTGTGTTGCACCTCACTCCTGAAGAAGAACCTTGAGTGTACTGGCCACCTTATGCAGTATGCGGGCCATGAGCCCATACCCCTCAGGCACCCCCGCTGCTGCTGCTGCTTCTACTTGTTATACAGCTGTTTCTCAATTCCCAATGAGAGTCTGGAGGGTACCTGCCACCGCTTGCAGCATGCGGGCCATGAGCCCATACCCCTCAGGCACCCCCGCTGCTGCTGCTGCCACTGCGTGCTGCACCTGCTGTGCAGGCAGCTTGCGGCTGTGAGGCACCTCCACCTCCACGTGGGGGCGCATGAATGGATAAGACATGCCGCTGCAGGGGGGGCATTGGGAGGAGAACAGGAAGTGTCTTAGATGAGATGAAACAATGAGAAGAATGAGATGAAACATAAGAAGTATCTTATGAAAAGAATGTGCTCAGTCAGGTACCTTATTTGGTAGGGAATGCGACAGCTGAGAATGACCTTGGTGAAGGGATCAAATTGCACGAACGAAGCCCGCACCACGACATCACCTGTGGGCACATGGGGGGGCAGATGGATGGAGAGATGTGTCTAGCAGCTGATACTTCTGGAGTAGAATCAGAGCAAGCATGCAACGATTCAAACGATGCGAGTAGGATGTGTTGCAGGGAAGTGGAGAACAAGACTTCTCCAGCAGCAATGGCAGCAGTTGCCCCTGCAGGAGGTGCTGCAACTTGATTTGACTCACAGGATGACATTTGAGTCCACCCAGGTCACTTTTGGAGCTCACCTGAGGTGCCATATGGCTGCATGGTAAGGCATGGCATGACCCTCATGAGCTGCTGCCTCTGCTCCCACAGCTCCTGCACCAACGCGTGTGTGCGCCCTGCTCGTAGCAGCACTCCCTGCATGACACGCATGGGTGGGAGAATGACATGTATGGTGGTGGATTGATAGCACCCATAGCTAGGTATGCGAGGATGCAAGTGAGGCAGGGTCATCGATATGCTCGGATGGCCTGAGTGAACATGCTTGTGCTTGCTCCAAGGAAGATAAAACGAAGCACATTACACAGTTCAGCACGGCAACGGGCAATGGCACAGCTGCTAAGTGCATGCTGGGAGTTACAGCTATGCTGCTGCAGTGGTCATGGTACCTGGTAAGCAGCGGCGAGGGCAGCAGCAGTGAGGGGCGAGGAACGCGGCTGAGAGGAACCTCCTGTAGGCCCAACCACCAGCGCTTCCATTGCAGGCACCACCTCAAAGAGAGGGAATTGCTGTGAGAAGGAGGCCATGTGACGCAGGGGAGGGGGAAGAGAGGACATGGGAGGGTGAAAGGGGTGTGAGTTGAAATCCCTCGGTTCCTACCACTGGTGTCTCTGTCATATGTGGTTACATTAAAGGGGAGGAGTGGTGAGAGAGGCGATGGTGGAGGGAGGAGGGGAACAGGGTGAGGAGCACAGTGTGAGGGGCATAGTGAGATGCGCACGGTGAGATGCGTGATGGTGGTTTGAGACGTCTCAAAACGCTTCTTTTATCACGTGAGATGGGTGATGGTGGAAAAACTTCACAGAAAGCCTTCATAGGAGAGTAGGGGCATAAGGACATGCGAGGGCAGGAGCAGAGCTCACCTTGGCGACCACTGAGTGGTTGATTGTTGGCGAGAGGGAGAAGGAGAGGAGGCTAGGCAGGGGATGAAACCGCATGCGAGGGCTGGAGCAGAAACAACATGCGAGGGTCGGAGCCGAGCGCACCTTGGCGACCACTGAATGGTTGATGGCTGGCGAGAGGGAGAAGGAAGATGTCGCCAGGTCGATGTGCACTCTGTTAAGGCGGTGAGCAGAGAGAGGGGTTGAGCAGGGAGAAGGGGCGAGCAGAGAGAGGGGTTGAGGAGGAATACCAGTGGCACGTAGTGAAGAAGTTCAATGGATCCACGAAGGGAGAATGAGTCATAGAGAAGTCATGGTGCATACGTATGCAACCCCCCATGCACCCATGCACACACCCCCATGCGGCCATGCACACACCCACATGCGGCCATGCACACATCCCCATGCGGCCATGCACACACCCATGCAGCCATGCATCCAGATTGTTTTCGTGAGCAGCGCACCTGAGGGTGACAAAGTGGAGCACGGAGAGCACGAGGTCCATCTGGGTGCCGTCTTGTGACTGCTGGTACTCACGCAGCCTCCACCCCTGCCAGTGGCACGCAGGGTGGCAGTTGGAGGCAGGGAGAGACAGGGAGAGACAGGGGGAGACAGGGGGAGACAGGGGGAGACAAGGGGGGACAGGGAGAGACAGGGAGAGACAGGGAGAGACAGGGGGGGACAGGGGGAGACAGGGGGAGACAGGGGGAGGCAGGGGGAGGCAGGGGTAGACAGGGGTAGACAGGGGTTGGCAGGGGGAAGGCAGGAGTGGCACGGTTGGCAAGGGTGGTAGATAGAATCACGAGAGATGTTGGCATAATCAAATGAGCTGTGGGCTGGGAGAGCAGATTGAACCTCCAGATCAAGTGGGACAGGTGGCAACAGCAAGGACCCAGAACCGCTCTGTACCTGCAGAAACTCCGTTATCTTGGCAGCTCTGACAGGGTCCGACACAGCACCCGTGTTCTCTCCCTCAGCACCTTCCACCCCGGTCTTCCCTGCAGCGGCCCTGAAACCTCCTTCTTCTGCCGTCCCAGGCGCAGGCTGAGCCACTGTCTGTGGCTGTAACTGTATCCGCGCCTGTGACTGTGTCCTTGTCTGTGTCTGCATCTGGGGCTCGCCCATGGGCTGGCAGCGGGCCTGCAGGGCCTCGTGGCGCGCGGCCAGCTCTCTCCGCATGGCGTCCGTCTCCTCCAGCAGACGCTGCCTCTGCCATGCCGCACATGGGTGGGTGGATGGGTGGGCGGGTGAATGGATGGATATTTGAGTCGACTATAGATTGGAGTGCCTCATGGCGGGCGGCCAGCTCTCTCCGCATGGCGTCCATCTCCTCCTGCAGACGCTGCCTCTGCCATGCCGCACATGGGTGGGTGGATGAGTGGGTGCAGCGTCAGCAAAAGCAGTGGAAAGGCAGAAAGCACGTAGAAGATGCAAGGCGCATTCAAGGAAACGGAACAGCAAGCGCACCTGCTGTCTCAGCTCCTGGAGCCGGCTTTGCTGATGCGCCGCTGCCTTCTCCTCCCTCTCCTTGAGCGCTCGCTCTGCCGCGGCCCTCCTCGCCCTCACGTCCGCCAGCAGCTCGCCCACTCGCCTCGCTGCTGCCTCTTCCGCCGCCCTGCGCTCCGTCACCCGATGCTGCTCCACCTGAAATGCACAGGGAGTCAAGATCGGCGGCAAACAATCCAGAACATGGAGCGATGGGGCGAATAGGTGGCAAGAGGCATCTCTTTTCTTGTGTGCTGCTGGATCAGGGTGCTGTGAGTGCTTTACAGGGAACGGGCAAGCAAGCATATGCAGCAAGAGCTTGCTGTGGTTCAATTTTGAGACGTCACAATACACAAGGCAAGCAGGCAAGCAGAGGCGCGAGCAAGCAGGGAAGTAGGCAAGCAGGCTAGCACGCACCTGCAGCATGCGTTCGGCGTGGTCCAGGGCGCGGCTCCTCTCCGCCTCCAGCTGCGTCCGCACCCTCTGCCACTCCGCCTTCGTCTCCATCCTGCCATCCACACATGCATGGCCGGGGAACACACACACGCATGCGTATCCACGCACACACACGCATGCATATCCACGCACGCATGCGGCACACATCAGTTTAGAGGAACAAGTTCCACACGAGCGTGTTGGAGGATAGCTGGTGGCCATGCTGATCTAAAATGTGCGAATGGACTGTGCGAACCAACTGTGCAAGTGCTGTGAAGAAGTCATTTGGCGGCAACAGAATCAGCACCCATCATCCCATCCGATGCGACCGGCTCATTGCGTTGACCCCCGTCCTGAAGCCCCGTCCAAATAATCCCGTCCTGCCGCCTCACCTGAGCAGGCTCTTGAGGGCGAGCAGTCGCTCCTTGAGCACCTTGTGCTTTTGAGTCGCCTCAAATGTCACCTCACTCCTGTGGCCCCAACCCCCTGCCGCCTCACCTGAGCAGGCTCTTGAGGGCGAGCAGTCGCTCCTTGAGCACCTTGTGCTTTTGAGTCGCCTCAAATGTCACCTCACTCCTGTGGCCCCAACCCCCTGCCGCCTCACCTGAGCAGGCTCTTGAGGGCGAGCAGCCGCTCCTTGAGCACCTTCTGCTGCTCGGGGTTGCCTTGCTGCAGGGCGCACAGCAGAGGAGCGGGCGACAGAGTAGAACAGAGTGCAAAAGAGCAGAAGGATCAGAGAAGAGCAGAACAGAGCAGTGGCAGAGTGAAAATCGAGCAAAATCACTGGCAAGAAATCTTCAGTTTGCACCTGTGTGCATGCGTGTGTGTGTGCAAGCGCATGTGGGGGATATCAGTGGGAAAGACAGAGAGGGAGCAAGAACGACGGAAAGACATGAGAGGTGGGAGGAGGGGAGGGGGCCCGAGCGTGGGCCACTCACAGCAGCGAGCTGGGTGAGTGCCGTGCTGCTGGCAGCCATGGTGGCCTCAAGCGCGTCTGTCTGCTGCTGCTCGGCCAGCCAGTGGGAAAGAGAGAGAGGGAGAGCGCGGCGAGGGGAGGAGGGAGGAAAGAGAGTGGGCCACTCACAGCAGCGAGCTGGGCGAGTGCCGTGCTGCTGGTGGTCATGGCTGCCTCGAGCGCGTCTGTCTGCTGCTGCTCCTCGGCCACCCGCGCCAGCAGCTCCGCGCACAGCTTCTCCACCGCCTCCTCCTGCCTTATGGCACAACACACACACACACACACACACACACACACACACACACACACACACACACACACACACCCGTGCCAGCACAGCACACAGCAAGGCGACATGTGGGTCGATTCAACAGCGCACAGCGGAGTCAACACAGCCCCAGACACGAAGCCAGCAGGCCGGTAACACCTTCCTTTCCCCGTTGGCTCATCACTTCCTTTCCTTCCCATTTCATTTCCACTTTCTTGATCGCTTGGCCGAGCGATGCTCTAGATACGCTTCCTCACTAGCCATCCTCCTTAATCTGCAAGTCCCCACCTGTCCAGTGCCGTCCTTAATCTCTCGCCGCTCTCACCTGCGGCTGCAGGCACACGCGGCGGAACAGGCGCTCTCCCGCACTCGCTTCCCCCGCGCGCTCCCTGGGCGTGCGCGGAGTCCAGGGGGACTGCTCCAGCACCCCCGACTTGCGCTTCTCTAGCGACATCTGCGGAGGGGGAGCACGCGTGCGGGGCAGGAGATCACGAAAGAGTGTGAAATCGCTGGATATAAGACCCCGAATCGCACGCTCACACAACAACACACTACGATGCCACTGCTTCACATCACAGCCAGCACCACGAGCTGCACTCACCCCAGCCATGGAAAAGAACCACTCGAGCCACCGGACGCCGCGGATGCGCGCCTGCTCCGCACTCTCCATTCCTCCGCCCACCCCGCCCGCCATCTCCTCCCCCCAGCCCACTTCCGCCAGATCGAACCCCCCCACCAGCTCCTCCCCCATCTCCACATCCTCAAACGCCCGCCTCACTCCCTCGCTCCACCCCACCAGCCCCATACTCCGCTCCTCCGCATCACCCTCATCCCCCCCGTTCTCTCCATCTTCCGCATCCCCCCGTTTCCCCCCACTCCGCGCAACCTTTCCGTCCTGCCTGGCGCTGCCGCCCGCGCCCTCCTTGCCGGCGGACACCACACCCATGATGGGCGAGTCCCCGTCCCTCGGCGAACCGCCTTCCGCCTCGCGCGCACCGCCTCCGCCGCTCCTGCTCTTCGCCACCCGCCTCGGCGGAGTCTCCATCTCCTCCGCGCCCGTCCCCGCCTCGATAGGAGCCATCCCGCCCACGGACGCGGTGACAGCGGGGCGGGCAGTCAGGTAGGGGAATCGGCCGATTGTGGAAAACTCAGTTGCCGCCTCTTCCTCTCCCGCCATCTCCTCGACTCTGCCCCCCGCTTCCCCCGCGTCCCCCGCCTCTCCACCGCCCTCCTTCCCGCTCTCCCTCCAAGCACCTGGTTCCGGACTCGTGCCAGTGCTTTCCCGCCGCCCCTTCTTCCCCACGCTCTCGCGCGCGCGACCTTCCCCACCGTAACTCCCCGCTGCTCCGCCCTCTGCCCCTTCGCCGCCACCCCCCTCTCCCGCAATGCGGTCCTGCGGGGAGCCGAAGGCACCATCGCCGGAGAGCTTCCCAACAGCCGCCGCTCCATCCGCCTGATCGTTCGCCGCGAGTGGCGCCGGCAGCAACAGCGCGGCGTTCAGCGCGCTCTCCAGACGCAGCGGCGCGCACTCCTGAGGCGGATCCAGCGGAACGCGCGGAAGCGGATCCAGCGCGACCGCCTCACCCACCAGCTGCAGCGGACTCCCCGCATCACCCGCGAAACCCGCAGCACCAACACCCTTTTCCAAGCCCAGTAGCGCACTATCCAACCAATCAGCACCGCCCGTACGCCTCCCCACGCCTGAGCTAGCCCCGTCCGGCGTCTCGAGCAGCCCGTCAAGGTCCCCATCGCTGTGGTCCAACACACCAGGGGTCAGAAACGACGACATGAGTTGTTCAGGCGCGGGAGCGATACCCTCTCCTGCTGCTTCAGCTGCCGCCGCCGCCGCGGCCGTGACCGCCACTGCGCCGCGTTCGGGTTCTGTGATCGCGGCCCTGGACTTGTCGACGGGGGTGAGCGAGAACCCCAGCCCCATGCCCTTCACGTCGTCGAGCCCCGGACTGAGGAACGACGACAGCAAGCCCGAACGCGCGACGGCCTCCTCCGGCGTCACTCCGTCGCACGCTGCAGCCGCCTGCTCCCCGCCAGCCGCTCCCTCAGGCGTCGCGGCTGACATTGCCGAGACCGCCATTGGCGGGTTCTGCTTCTCGGCGACGACGTGGGCTGGGTCGACGAGCCCCGAGCTCCCTTTCCCCGCACTAACATTGCGGACAATGCCGGCAACAGCCGCTGGCTCCGACTTTCCTTCCTCAGCCTCTCCAGTCTTCCCTTCCACGGGTGCCTTCTCACGATCGTTTCCGCCGCCGCTTTTCTTCGCATCCTCAGCCGCGGTACCGACGGTACTGAGCCCGTCGTCCTTCTGAATCCACTCCTCAAAGTTACGTCGGTCCTTACAACGAGTGTTCACCCTCCGATTCGCCCGTTCTCCAGGCTTAGGAGAGGCTGCTGCCGGCGACGCTGCTGCTGTCGCCTTCCCTCGCCCGTGCGACTCTGCGACCTCCCCCGCACACTTCAACGCCAAGCGAGATTTCGCATGATTTCTCGGCGATCGCCTCGGCGACACAGACTCCGCGACCTTGGAAGTCTTCGGCGACCTAGGGGCTTTGGGCGATTTCGGCGACTTCGGCGACGCTGGAGGCGACATCGCGAAGAGGGGTCTCGGCGACGAGGAGACCGCCAGTGCAGCAATCTCCTGTCGTTTCTTCAGTCGCGGGGAGCATCGGGTCGGACTCAATCCCTCGGCCGGAAGCTGCCGCTTTCCACCGACCTTCTGACCGTCTGCTGGTTGCGCTGCCGGCTGACTGGTTCCTTCCGTCAGTGCAGCTGCCGGCAGAGCAGCCAGCTGCTTGCCGTCCAACGAGTCACGCGCTGCGAGGTTCCAAAGATTAGGCACGGCTTGCGTGATGGAGAATTCCTCCCACCGCATCGTGTTCTCGATCTGGTTACCAAATGTCGTCGGGCTGTCGCCTGGCATCGCGACAAAGCTGTCGAGAGGGATGATAAGCGGCCCCTTTGGCTTGCCATTCCTGTGAAGGAAACCAGGATAGCAGGGTTAGAGTGCGATGCTTTGACGGGATTTAAAAAAGAAGAAGCGGATGGGAAACGAAGCGACATGGTACTTACTCTTGCTCGTTCGCTCGAGGGGAAATGGTGCGGACGGAACATTCATCCTTGGCGAAGCTCACGCGGCGACCGCGTGAAAGTCGACGTCCGCTCGGAGAGATGTGACGTTTTCCGTCAACGGAGCTCTGGGATTTGAGAACGCCTCGTAGCGGAGAGCTTTTCACCACCTGCAAGGATGCAATCTTTCGTGTCATAAGGATCAATGCACTTTTTTTCAATTTGACTTCCAGCTTGCTTACCGGTGAGGAGAATAGGATAGGATTGATGTTTTCTTTCATATCTGGAAGGCTTGCTCCGGCAGCGTGACTCGGCTGGTCCATTATCTCGACGCCAGTAGACGGCCAAAATCAGTAATTGTATAGCTGACTAATCGCCTATACGCTTATTAAATCGAAGCTACCTATTCGGCGACCTATGGTCTTTCTAAACAGCCAGAATCACCGATAGCTAATAAGGCTAATGAGTGAATTACGGAAGCTACGACGGGAATAAGTATGTTCAGCGGAGTAGCATAAAACACTACCGGTACTGAAGGATTGCCTGGTTCGCTGCAGTACGAATCAAAGCAAAAGCCGCCCAAGCTAAGCTTACCCTACCGAAACCGCTGTTGCGATACAGAAATAACTCAGGAGTTAAACTAGATTTTAGGAGTTACACTACAGAAGGTGAAAGACAGAACAGAGCAGAAGAAACTGTTGTGGTCAGCTAGAGAGGGACAGTGAGAAAGAAATCAGCAGCCATTTTCAGATCAAGCTTCGCACAGGTTACCGCAGCATGAGCAGAGACCACCTCGGCACGGTCATCGGGAATTGTTTGCCTGAGAAACTTCAAACTCTCTGCTTTCGCAGCGCGCATTCCTCGAGAGTTCAAAAACTTCCCGCCACTCGCTGGAACATGTCAGTCTGACAGACTGTCGCAAATAGACTAGATGTTCGCGATAGAGCAGAATATCGAATGCAGATATATGAAGCTGACAACAAAATGGAATCCACCCTACAAATTATGGACAAGCCAAGAAAGTAAATTAAACATCAGGGATACATAAGCCACTCTCCCACATATCTAGTCAGACAGCATGATAGAAACAGATTACCATTAAAAAAAAAAAAAAAAAAAAAAAAAAAAAAAAAAAAAAAAAAAACCCAAGGGATACATACTTCAATTTACATACATGGCCTCCTTTTATAGGTCTACCATTTGCGGTAGGCTAGGCGAGTGGTGGTGAGGTTCCAATTCATCCAGCAACACTTGGGGCCGATGTGAGGCTGTGGAGTGTAATTCGATAATTGATGATGTAGTAGTAACGGATGGAACTGGGCCAACAAACCATCGATGTGCATCCACCATCCACCATAGGATGACAAAGCTCATCAGCAGAAGTGATGCTGCAGTGCCGCACGCAAATGACGGAAAACAAGTGAACAAGTATTAGTGCGGCCAAGAAAGAAACTACATGGGGAACTACGCGGGGAATAATAGTTCCGCAATCAAATACCATGACACCCACTCAGAAATTTCATGTGAATGAGAAGCGAAGCCACAAGCTCACCAATGGGGGCATAGTTGAAGGTCTCCCACGTGATAGGGTAGAAGATTGGCGCCATGAATACCCCGATGGTGTACACTATATAGCCCAGTGCCACTACGCAGAGCGGCCGCGCGCAGCGGCCGAGGGAGAAGGGGCCAGGTTTGAAGCGGTGCGGAGGGATGATGAGGCGGAAGAAGACGACAATGCCGTATGTTCCCAGCCAGGCTGCTGACGTCACCGCTGCCACTGTTCCAAAGAACGTCGGAGAGCTGCGGGGATTACCGGTGAGAGGGTGGAGGTGGAGGAATGCGTTACAGGGGATGAGGCTCTGCATAGAGGGAGTCACAAAACATCGCTGGGCACCATTGAGCGGAAGAGAAAGAAAGAAAATAAAACAGACAAACAAACAAACAAACAAACAAAACAAAACAAACAAACAAACAAAACAGAACAAAACAAACAAACAAACAAAACAAAACAAAACAAAACAGCACAAACCAGAAAAAACAAACGAACAAAACAAAGGACCCAGCTAGAAGGGGGCTCACAAGAAACTAGGGACTCCAGATGCAACAGCGATGAAGGTGGAGAGCCAGATGGCCCTGACAGGAATGTGGTTGCGCCTCGACAGCGTTCTCCACACGCGCGAAAAGGCCATGGCGCCGTCCCTGCTGGCCTTTGATGCGTGACTCCGAAGCAGCAGCAGCGCAAGACAAACATGACTCACAAGAAGCTGGGGACGCCGAAAATGATGGCGATGAAGGTAGACAGCCAGATGGCCCTGACAGGAATGCGGTTGCGCCTGGACAGGGTCCGCCAAACGCGCGACCATGGCATGGCGCCATCCCTGCTGGCCGCATAGATGGCCCGCGAGGACGCGAGCGTGACCCCGAAGCCGGCGGCATAAAAGTGGATGACCATGAGGAAGAGGAGCACGTAGGCGCCGGTGGCGGAGCCATAGCGAGCGGTGAAGAGGGATATGAGGAGGTGCACGACGGGATCCATGAAGGACGAGCCCTCTGCCGTGAAGAGAGTGCGGTAGTCGCCCTGTGGGGGAGGGAGGAGGGGAAGGGAGGGGGGGAGGGAAAAGGGGGGGGAGGGGGCAGGAGAGATGCTTTGGGTGAAGTGAGCGGGATCCATGAAGGGCGTGCCTTCTCCCGTGGAGTACATGATGGGATCTATGAAGGGTGCGCACTGGGCCGTGAAGAGAGCGTGGTAGTCGCCCTGTTGGGGGAGAGGGGGAGGGGATGAACCAAGCAGGTCATGACCATAAGACACTTGCACGCATCGCATTGCAACGAGCTATGTATGCGCTGCGCTTTTGATGCGATGAGGTGCGACGAGATGAGACGCGATGCGGTGTGATGCGGTGTGATGCGATACAATGTGACGGCGTGCATGCAGGGAGACATTCTCACCTGGATGCAGGCGGTGAAGGTGACGAGGATGGCGAAACCAAACACCACCTGCACCAGAAACGACCCCAGGATGGCCCTCGGGCCCGATACGTCCGAGTTCCTTGTCTCCTCTGTGACGTGGGCAGCAGAATCAAATCCGTAGAAGGAGAAGTGTGGCAGCAGGCCGGCGAGGATGAGCGAGGGGAGCAGTGAGCACACGCCTGTGATGGGACAGCCTGACTGGTACTCGAGGAAAATGAAGGAGGGTGGCTTGAGCTCCACTGCTACTGCTGGCAGCACTGTCACCTGATGGTACGAAGGGTACACGGGATGGTTGGGAGGGGAATTGTATTCTAGACGTAGCAACCGAGGAGGCGCGAGACACAGGTGAGGGAGAGGGAGTTTAGGTGAGGCACCTCAGAACACGGGAGTGAGGGAATGGCATGACTCACGATGGTGATGGTGTAGGCCACAGCGAAGTAGACGTAGCAATCGAGGAGGCGCGAGATGCAGGTGAGGGAGAGGGAGTTGAGGAGCGCCCAGGAGAGCAGCAGCGCGCAGTAGAGGGCGAAGAAGAAGGCCGTGGAGGCGAGGTGCTCCCCGCTTGCCATGTGGTGCACCATCATCTGCACCAGCTGCGCCGCTGCACAGAGGGGGCACAGGGAGATGAGAGCACGGACTGACATTAAGGCGAGCTAGCTAGGAGGCGAGGTGCCAGGTGTGTTTTGAGTCAACTCAGAACAGAACACACCTGGGAAGGCGATGCTGCTGGCGCACACAGAGAGCGCGATCACCTCGAGCCACACCGTCACCCACGCCACCAGTGGCTTCCACCGCGGGGGGGACAGGCTGGCCGCCCAGAAGTAGAGCGAGCCTGACGTCTGCAGGGGTGGGGAGGACAAGCAGGGAAGTGGGGAAGAGGAACAACATACAGGCGCGGCATGGGGAAGGTGAGGACGTTCGAGTATTGAATTGGGTGGCCAGGGACAAGCTGGCCGCCCAGAAATACAGCGAGCCTGATGTATGTGTGCAGTGGATATGGGCGGTAGTGGGTGGGTAGGGGAAGAAGTGGGTACGTTCCGGAGGAGTCGGGGAAAAGGAGGAAGCGGGAAGGTTAGAGGGGGGAGAAGGAATATGGGGGAAGGACAGGCGGGGCATGGGGGTGGGACAGACTGATGCGGGGGAGGGCAGGTAGGGCATGAATTGGGTGGGGAAGAGAGGAGCAGAGGGAGCAGCGGACTCACGGGGAAGGAGGAGCAGACTTCAGCGATAACAAGCACCATGCAGAGGGCGAAGGGAGCGAGAACAACCCACGGCCACACCACGCCCACAGGCCCGGCTTGCAGCAGCGCGAAGCCAAAGAAGGGCACGGCCGTCATGTATGGGTTCATGACCGCTGCTGACACGCCAAAGATTTCTAGCCAGCCCTGGGGAGCGGGAATGATGGTGGTGGCCCGGAAAAGGGAACAGGAGTGGCACGGCTGTCATGTATGGGTTCATGACCGCTGCTGACACTGAGAGCGGGGGAATGGTGTTGGTGGTAGGAAAGGGGGGGAAGAGAGGAAGGGCACGGTCGCCATGTAGGAATTAACGACCGCCGCTGAGACCCGAAGAACTCCAGCCAGCCCTGGGAGGGGGAGAATGGTGTTGGGGGCAGGGACGGGGTAGAGGCAGGGAAGTCAGGTGCTCCCTCAGAATTCTCACGAGTCTTCCTTTGAGTCAACTCAAAAGTTGACTCTTGAGTTTTGAGTCGACTCAAAAGTCAGCCCTGGGAGAGGAGAATGGTGTTGGAGGCAGGCACGGGGTAGGGGCAGGAAGACAGGTGTTCTTTCAAAATTCTCACGAATCTCTCGCCTCAAAGCTCATCCCTAGCCCACCCTGGCATCACTAGCCCGCAGACCCATCCTGACCCTTCCCCACCCCTCCCTTCCACCCATAGAGCCCCAGCAGGCGTCACTTCAGCACTTGCTTGTAGCCCAGCTCCACAAGTCCCTTCCCTTGAGACGTCTTCAAAGCCACCCTATTCTATCCCGCCTCCCCACTCCCTCCCCACCACCCTCCCCCCATCTCCCACCGAGCCCCACCACGCGTCGCTTCAGCTCCTGTCAGTACCCCAGCTCCAGAAGCCGCTTGTCTTTAGGTCGATTCAAAAGCCACCCTATTCTATTCCCCTCCCCTCCCCATTTCCTCCCTCTACCCCACCCTCCTCACTAGAGCCCCACCAGGCGTCGCTTCAGCTCCTGTCGGTACCCCAGCTCCAGAAGCCGCTTGTCTTTAGGTCGATTCGAAAGCCACCCTATTCTATTCCCCTCCCCTCCCCATTCCCTCCCTCTACCCCACCCTCCTCACTAGAGCCCCACCAGGCGTCGCTTCAGCTCCTGTCGGTACCCCAGCTCCAGCAGCCGCTTCTCCGCCGGATCTAGCGCTTGCGCTTGCGCCTGCGCGCCGCTCCCCGCGTCCCCGACAGGAACGATCTCGGATTGCGGAGACTGCGCGGGTTGCGCGGGTTGCGGGGAGTGCGCGGAGCTTCTAAGGCGTGTCGCCTCCGCACCCGCGCCCGTAGCGCAATCTCCAGAGACCGCCATTTCTTGGAGGTGGTGATGAGAGGCCAGCATGGCCGATCCCGCCGCGTCGTGCGGCGATCTTTGAGGCGATTTTCGAGGCGATTTACGAGGCGCCTCAGTTGTCGTCTCCGCAACCGCACCCGTAGCGCGATCTCCAGAGATCGTCATTTCCTGGTGGTGGTGAGAGGCCAGCATGGCCGATGCCGCCGCCTCCATTATTCTCACCACTGACGTCAGACCCATCTGCTGTCCCCGTTATACAACGATTTCTGTAATCTCAAATCTCTGTTAGCTCGCTTTCACGGAGACTGTCACTTTAGGGTCACGTCTTTCCGAGTGAGCAGTCTTCTGAAGGCTCCTGGAAGCCAGTAGTAGGCAAGATTTTGAACGCTTCTTAAAGAGTCAGCTGTCGACGAGTGAGCGAAGGTTTAGAAGATTATTCAAGCAGAATCGCACATTGGGTTACTATGTACAGAAAACACCCGAGCCTAGCCTATAGTACTCTTGGATGGTTAGGTCACGCACGCCTTTTCGTACGCAAGTACGGCGAAACTGGGAAACTATGGGGAGGAATGACGTGTTCGTCTAAGTCCCCCATCATGCATGCATTGTGAGTCGTGACCTCCTGTCTTGGTCTCATCAACCCTAAACTCTTGTCCAACAGCGTTACTGTACGGAACGATTCTGAAACTACAGGCTCCAAATGAACGGGAAAGGCTCAGCGGAGTCCAGAAAGGATCTACAGATGTCGAATCAACGATCCACGATAGCCTCTCGCTGCGCGTATATTCTGTTTCGGTGTCCGGACTACTCGTAACAGCTGCTTTCTATCTCCAGCTAACCTCACACACGCTCGAAGCATGCTGCTGTGCTGACACCGCTTAGCCAGCCACCCAAATAAAATATACAATATTCTTCTGTGGACAATCTACAGCGAAGAGAATGGCGACAAAGCACGCTAGAGACGGCCTTCGACCGTGCGGTGCACAAAAGACGTGGAGAACGCAGCGGGACTTAAGGCAAACGTATCAGCAAACTAGCAAAGCGAGTCCCTTTTTAGCTGAATCTTGCGATAAAAAAACTGGCAATGGCAAGGCAAGTGAGCTCTCTACGGTCTACCTGTTGCCTCAGTCATGGCCATGCCTGTGGGTGATTGTGCTGCGGAGGTCGATTGTACGGATCCGTCGTGCTGGATAGACCTGGCTGCCTGGATGCACAACACGCGCTGACTCGCTGATTCCGCTGCCGCCAATCTCGCATCGACCTGGTCCTTTGAAACACCCTCTCACGGGTCACGTGACGTCAGGGGCTTCATGCTGCTGAGATGAGACGACACGACCACACTAACCCAAACCATACCGAATCCCAACGTACAACAGGTTGATTTGTAACGTATCGAGTACAAAACTAGTTCCTCCAAAAATACCGGAACTGAGCAGGCAGAACATATGGAAATTCAGCCATCACAAATCCCTAAGAACTGTACAAGCTCCTCTCCTAAAATCTATACGCAAGCCATGGGGAAAAAAGAGAAGTTTACAGCAGAAGGTAGTAAAATGAGCTTATTAGGCTACAAGTTTAATCAAGCATACTTCCTAGAGAACTTAAAAGATATACTGCAGCTAATATACAACAGCAAACCCACAGAGAAACGGCTTTATGGGCAAATCTCGGCATAATCTATGAGCTTCTGGCATCCGCGATCATTATTTTTTAGCTTTCTCGATTTCTTACATTTGCTGTATCAGGCTAAGTGGTCACGGACATAAATGGGGTCACAACAGCTCATCTAGAACACACAACCCATCCAGAACACACAACCCATCCAGAACACACCACCCATCCAGAACACACCACCCATCCAGAACACACCACCCATCCAGAACACACCACCCATCCAGAACACACCACCCATCCACAACACACCACCCATACACAACACACCACCCATCCACAACACACCAGCCATCCATAACACACCACCCATCCACAACACACCACCCATCCAGAACAACACACAACCCATTCAGAACAACACACCACGCATCCAGAACAACACACCACCCATCCAGAAAATACCACTCATATAGAACGCATCCAGAGCACACAAAACATCCAAAGAACACAAAACTTCCAGAGCATACAAAACATCCAGAGCACACAACACATTCTCAACACACCGCATTCCCACGATCAGTACCCACCCGCCACCACCCACCATGAACACCGCACCCACCCGCCCACCTACACACCACACCCTCCCACCCAAGGGGAATCACCCCTTCTCACCCATCCCACCCAAGGGGATTCACCCCTTCCTCCTCACCCATCCCACCCAAGGGGATTCACCCCTTCCTTCTCACCCATTCCACCCAAGGGAATTCACCCCTCCCTTCTCACCCATCCCACCCAAGGGGATTCACCCCTTCCTTCTAACCCATCCCACCCAAGGGGATTCACCCCTTCCTTCTCACCCATCCCACCCAAGGGGATTCACCCCTTCCCTCTCACCCATCCCACCCAAGGGGATTCACCCCTTCCTTCTCACCCCTCCCACCCATGGGGATTCACCCCTTGTGCATCCACGGCCCATCCCAGTCCATGCCTTCCATGTCGTGCCCAAGCTAAGTGTCACAGCTAAGTGCCTGCACTTATGTCGTGCCATGCCTGCTCCCTGCATCCACGCTCTCCTTCTTCCTGCGCGTTGTCACACTGAAGAGATCTCCCTCCCCCAAGGTAGCAGGTTCAAAATTTTGGTATAGCCTCAGGTATTTCATTGAGTGTGGTTCAGTTGGTACGAGGTCTCTTGAATGTGCCACTGCAGCAGCTATTTATGCACGCATCATTTGAATATGCTACACTCTTCACTCTCATTTCATCTGCTGCTCCCCCTTCACAACCTGTCCTCTCCCCTCCTCCCCTCGGCTCATTCTCTCCCTTCCAGCAGCCAGCAGCAGGCGAGGGGAGCACCAGGGCGGGCAGCAAGATCGCGGGCAGCAGGGCAGCAGCGCCGGCCTCATCAACAGTTGAGGTTGCAGTATCGCCCCTGCCACCACACTCCACTCGAGTCCACTCCCCCTCAGGTTCAGGTTCAGGTGCAGGTTCAGGTGCAGGTTCAGGTTGGTAGAGGCTCTTGTGGGGTTGTGGTTGGCGTCACATGCACTGTCGTTTCTGCTGTTGCACGTGTGTTTGACACTTTTCTCCATTGCAACCCCTCTTACCTTCGGCTGCCTTTCCATTCCGCCCTGCCCTCCCTCCCCTCCCTTCCCTGCCAGGCCTTCACAAGCTAGGGGGAGGGCAGCAGGCGAGCAGCAGGCGAGGGGAGCACCAGGGCGGGCAGCAGGAGCGTGGGCAGCGGGGCAGCAGCGCCGGCCTCATCAACGGTTGAGGTTGGAGTATCGCCCCTGCCACCACACTCCACTCGAGCCCACTCCCCCTCAGGTTCAGGTTCAGGTGCAGGTGCAGGTTCAGGTTCAGGTTGGTAGCGGCTCTTGTGGGATTGTGGTTGGCGTCACATGCACCGTCATTTTGCACTCACACTGCTGCCTGTCTTCTCATTTAAAAATGTCGCTCCCTCCCACCTGCCTCTTACTATCTCTCTATCTCTCTCTCCCTTCTCGTCTGCCCTCGCAGGTCCGTCCCTTCAAGCCCCGCTCGCCTTGCCCTCTCTCCATTGAAGCCACCCCTCTGCCTGCACCACACAATCAGCTAAGTACCCGTCCCCCCATGCCCGCACCCTTGCCTGCCAAACCATTTCTTTCGTTCCATCTGCTGTTGTGTACCGTCTTCTTGAAACACGCCACTGGTTGAGCTCGGTTCATGTGCCACAGACCCCCACTCTTCAGGTAATCCCCTCAGGTGCAGGTACACCCCTCAGGTTTTTTTTCAGGTGCTGTTGGGCCTGCAGCTTGTGGCCGTGCCTCAACCAGTGGCTCCTCCTCCCTTCCCTTGTGCTGGATTTCAAGTCACAGTTTCCCATTCAGCTTGCTCCCACCACCACGCTTTGACTAGCTCTGTGTGCGCGTTGCAGGTGGCAGGGAGGGGTGTGGGGTCAACACCGACGCTCCTTCACGCCCCTCCCCTGTGGCCGTGCAGGGAGGAGGCACCTGGAGGAGGGCTGCTGTGGAGGGAGGCAGCTGGTGGTGCTGCAGCTGCCTTGAGCTCGCCCTCACGCTATCATCTAAGTCACCCACTTCCATGCCCTGACCCTTGCACGCCACATCATGGCTTCTTGCTTTCTTGCTGCCATTTTTTTTGTCGGATGTGCTTTCGCCCTTCCCTTTGAAACACTACCACTGGTTGAGCTCGGTTCACATGCCACAGACCCCTCCACTTCAGGTAACCCTCTCAGGTGCATGACACCCTCTCAGGTGCAGGTACACCCCTCATGTTTCTTTTTCAGGTGCCTCCACCTGGTGTAGTTCCTCCACCAGGTGCCTCCACCTGGTGTCTGCAGCTGGTGGCCGTGCCTCCACCAGTAGTTCCTCCTCCCTTCCCTTGTGCTGGATTTCAAGTCACAGTTTCCCCTTCAACTTGCTCCCACCACCGCGCTCTGACTAGCTCTGTGTGTGCGCATTGGCATTGCAGGTGGCCGGGAGGGGTGTGGGGTCAACACCGACGCTCCCTCATGCCCCTCCCCTGTGGCCGTGCAGGTGGCAGTGGTGGGAGGGGAGGGGGGACTCCACTCGGATGGGATGGGATGGGATGGGAGAGTATCGGGATGGGGTCGTCTGGAACAAGGTGAGCCTCTTTTCCCTCCTGCACTCATGCTGTTGCTTGGTCGTCTCCCCATGTTCACTTCCCTCTCTTGCTTTCGCCTTGCCTTCACTCTTCTTTCCATTCTGACTGCTGTCCCTTGATCCCCTGCCTCCCTCCGTCTTCCCTCCCTCTCTCTTCCCTCTCGGAGCATTGAAGGCTGTAGCAGCGTAGCAGCAGGGCAGCTTTGGGGCAGCAGGGGCAACAGCAGTGGTGGGAGGAGAGGGGGGCAGCACTTCACTCGGCTGGGATGGGATGGGAGAGTATCGGGATGGAGTCGTCTGGAACAAGGTGGGCCACTTTCATTGTATTTCCTGTTGCTTCTTGGTCTATTTCCCTTTTTCGCTTCTGCCTGCTCTTCTTCGCGCACTCACTGCTGTCCCTTGCTCCCCTGCCTCCCTCCCATTTCTCTCCCTCCCAGACTATTGAAGGTTGTAGCAGGGCCGCAATGGAGCAGCAGCAAGGAAGCAGCAGGGCAGGGGTAGCAG